AAAAAAAAAAAAAAAAAAAAAAAAAAAAAAAAACTTGGAATTTAATCCAAATGTACGAAACGAATCCATTACTGAGCTGTCTAACCGCCCAGACAAAGTAATTTTCAGTTTTTACATTACTGCTGCCATGAAACGATAAGATAACAAGAAAATTGGTTTCAGAATGAAAATGATTTCACCAGTCAGAATTATTACCGTCATAGCAAATGATAAACTAACTGCTGTAATCCAAAAAGAAATTGCATCAAATATTTTTTTTTTATTTTTTGCATCAAACTGTTTTAAAGAATTTACAATCGATGTTGGCAGAAAAGAATTATTTTGCTTAAAGAACATAGAAAACACAGTCAGTTTTTACTGCATAAAACAGCCAATTTTTAAGTAAACCAATAATCCCTAAAATAACTGATCAGAACTTTTTACTCATCTGACATGTCACATTTTGATACCACAGTGGCATTAATGTTTTTAAAATTATATGCGAAAGACAGTCTTGAAAAAAAGCATTATAAGGTTTAGCGCTTGTCAGTACAAGAAAATTTTTTTTCTTGATTTCTGTTTGCAGAACTAGCTAAAGAATTATTCAATAAAATTAAGGCAAAAAAAAAACTTTTTCAACGGTTTCCCAGAAACTTTAAACTAACCTGTTTTATCTTTGCCACTAACAGCCACGGGTAATAAAGTGAAAAATATTGAGAAATCAACTTTAACTGCTTCTCTGCAAATACTACAAAAATTCAATAAATGTTGGGAATTTCTTTGAAATTCTTCGTAATCATTCATATTTTTCAGTATTGCGACGACGGCTTTCAGTGTAATCATTCTTATGCGGTATACAATTTTTCATCGCAAAATGAACCTTCTTAAGCCCTTCGGTTGCCATATTTTAAGAGGACATTTCTGACGACGACATAAACAGCTTATCATCTTTCAACTTAATCTTCAGCTACTGATTTCTTGAATGCTCAAGTAAACTGTACTTTTAGATCGCAACAAGCCTCTGTTTTCTGACAGTAACATTTAGATATTTTGCAGTCTTTATTTCTTCATTCTACTGAAATAAAATCATGGCTTGATAAAATTTTTCTGCAAGTTTCTACCTCTATCAAAGCAAGCAAATTATTCCCAAATTTTTAGACAAATGTGAAGATTTACAAAGATGTTCAAAATTACTTACACCTTTAGAGTTGCCTCCAAAGACAAAAAGGTGAAGTCTTTTCTAGCCGAAAATGAAGATAATGAACTTTTTGTTATTTTCCGAATGATCTCCATGCTTTCAATGCACTTATCTCTCACTTTCTGAGGCGTAGACTGAACGAACAACAACTTTTTTTCAAAGCATTGCAACACGAGTTGGTGCAGGAAAATAATAAAGTCATAAGGAACTATTTTTTCTGCAAAAATTTTTGAACTTTTATTTTTTATTTTTTATTTATTGAACTTTTATATATTACTTTGCCTAAGCAACCGATCAGCGCTAAATAGCCAACTTTTCGCAAACGTTTACAATATGTACGTTTACGAACGCTACTGCTAGTCTTCCCCGCCAGAAATTACCACTGATTTAGAAAAAAGAGTCAGTTTTGTTCCATCGGAAAGCTAAAATTAATTTCGGCTATGCAGCGGCTAACCAAAAAAGTTCAAGTCTGTTGTCAATAAAATGTAGCTGAAAAATGGTAGTAAAACTGAAACGTCATTTGCCAGTAAAGAATAAACTGTTCAGAAAAAGAGAGAAACTGTATAGAAAGACTGCAACAAAACTCTGTGCTGCTTCCTTAAAACTTTTTGTAGCACATCCATTTTAATTTTTAATTTCAAATGAGCGTATAGCAGAGTGAAAAGATTTGTCATATAGAATTTTGGTTTACTGTTAATTTTGGCTCAGTTCCTGAAAACCATCACGCCCCTTGTCATTCTGTTTATAAGTATTCTTTACCGTCTGAAGGCGACACCATAAATCACCAAAAGACGATAGAAGCTATCTACAAATCATTCACGCAAATATCGCTGCCCGCACTTCAGCGTGCAAACGCTCAGTTTTTGCTTTAAACGGTTACTGCTTAAAGTTGCCTTCGTCCAGGAGCAAAAAACTTTTCATTTTGTGATGGATGTACATAATACTTTTGTTTATTGTAACTTGTGTCCCAGGTCTTTGTTTTAATTGAATTTTTAGAATTGATCGCCATATGCGTTTATTAAATGTATAATAATTTTTTCTTTTAAAAGAAATTTATTTTTTGGCGTTATCGCAGCCAACAGTGCTCTCTGCTAATCATTTTTCTACTGACGCTCAAGTTTTCTCTAGGATACTCTATCTTGAATTATAAGCCTATGAAAATCTTGTACCCGTCTACTCTGCTCTAACTTTCCAAGAACCAGCGTTCAAATATTGTTCAAACTTGTGCAGTATCATCTTCCTGGTGACGTATGTGTCCTAAGCAGATGTATCAAGAAAATCATCTGAATCCAATATTTGAAGGCCATTATGCTTTTTCTAAACCATTACTTGATAGTGAACAATAAATACACGTATAGTGTCGTCTCACCAGTGGTGGAATAGCCTTAGCGAGTAGCTACAATAATGTAAGACTTAGCAGTAACTGAAGCGGTGAGAAGCCTGGAAGTGACCATCAAGAAAATTGACAAGACTTTGCAACAAGCGAGGAGTTTGTAAAGTATGATCGATCAAACAGCTATTATGATGATTTTACATGATAACTTTTCTAAAATTACTGCACTTGAGATTATGCTCGCGAAACTGAATACGCAAGATAACTGGAGCTCACAGCAGCTAATCAGTTTGTTGCACCAAGCAAGTAAAGCTCGAGAGTGCGTGGGAATCACTTTTGCTCTAAGGTACGTTAGGAAGGACGAATTAAAGACTGCAAGCGCCAGTTATGAAAGAGATTGCTCAAACCCAAACTACTTATCAGGTGGTAGAACAAATGAAGATAAAGGTAAGAAAACCGTGCATATTCTGAGGATCACTTCAACAGCGAGTTTAGCAAGTATAAAACA